AAAAAAAAAAAAAAAAAAAAAAAAAAAATTCGCGCCTATGTGCCCATTCTAAGCAAATTATAAACATTGCAGTTTATCTGTGATCCCACCGTGCAGGAACGATCACTCACAACTTGGTCCTCACCGTCAAAATGCGACCTCCATGAAGACAAGGGCCTTGTGGATCTCACTCCTCCCCGTGCAGTGCCCACCTAGCACAGCCCTGATGCATGGCAAGAGCTCAGTAAATGTTGTTAGTGAATCAATGAATAGTCCTCCAGTTTTTTAATACAAAAATTAGAACTGTATGCTACATACTGCTTTGTAGTCAGATTTTCATAATTAACGTTGCAGACTTCTTTGTATGCTTAGAAATACATTTCTTCAATAATAGTAATCTGATTTTGAGAGATCTTATCAATAAATAAATATCAGTAGTCCCGCCTTTATTCTTCAAAGAATATATTAATATGTAAGTTAAGATGTTAATGAGATCCATTTAACCTGTTGGGTTGCTAGGAGATCTTGATTAATCCAATAAGACCCCGAAGTATAAACTTCACTTGGCATATTAATAGAGCCAATAGGACGATGTATTCTTCTAATTTCTGAATCATCATAAGTGCTCTGGAAAATACCAGTATTGAAGTTCATGTCTTTTGATTGGGTGTAGTTATGTTTAAGTGGTGGTATTTTTAAGTTAAAAGTTTATTTTAACGAAGCTATCTTTATACTGATACTACACATATGAATCCTAAATCTAATCAGGTGTTAACCCTGAACGTCGTTTTCCACAAAATAAAACAGACTCAAGACGGCACTCTGAAATGACTGATGCCTTTCATTTCGAATGAATAATAGAAATACTTTTAAGTTCAGTCCTGCCTGAAGACGAGAGACTGGGCTGGACTGGTGACTCCCCACATGTGGTCTGGGAACCCTAACTGGGTGGGCAGTCCGTAGAGGGGACCCGTGGTCTCTGGCTGGTGATGCTTTCATGAGGCGGCACATGGGATGCGGGACTGTATTGCTTTGGGCACTGTCTGCCTCTGTCTTGCTCCCAGGAGCTCACATCCAGTTCCTGAACTTCTCCACCGAGCCCAACCATGACTTCATAGAAATCCGGAATGGCCCCTATGAGACCAGCCGCATGATGGGCAGATTCAGTGGAAGTGAGCTTCCCGGCGCCCTGCTCTCCACATCCCATGAGACCACCGTGTATTTCCACAGCGACCACTCACAGAACCGGCCGGGATTCAAGCTGGAGTATCAGGGTGAGGAGAGGGAAGGCCCGTCCATCCCCACCTCTTACAACCACCCGTCTTCCCAGCCTTCTGCGTAGCCGAGGAGGGAACCCAGGAAGGGCGGGGAGGTGGGGGGCAGGCCCGACCGCCGTGACATGTCTCTCTGGCCCACAGAGGCTGTTGAACCCCCTCGACAAGCCCTTCCCAGGGCGGCAGCCCCAAAGCGCCTTCTCAGGCTCCATCCCCAGCCCCACCCAACAGCCAGCAGCTTCCCCTGAGCAAGTGACCCATCAGTCCCGCTCAGGCATCCCCGAGTGTCCAACCAGCCACTGCCCCTTGGCCTTGAGAGGCTCGCTTCCTCCTCTGGGTCCTCCCCTGTGTGTCCGTTATGCTCAGCAAAGCTCCTCCTCTAACATGATGGAGGATTCCAGTAACAATTCTTGTAACAAGCCCAGAAGGGCCCACTGAGCCTTAACGATGAGACAGGTGTGTTTACTCCCGCTGAGGGTTTCCCTGTGTGAGGCTGGACCACGCTCACCGCAGCTCCCCCATCCTGAGCTGGAGTCCTGTGACCGGCCCTCTCCTCCTGGAAAAGCTCCATCCACTACTCCAGCTCAGGCTTCCCCTGTGGAGGGGCTGTTACCTCTGCCCGTGCAGCTGTGCCCACCTGTGCAGCGGTACACAGGCCCTGATCAGACCCGACGTATCCCTCGGGGGCTTTCCGAGTGTGACTGACTGAACCATTTGTTCTAACCTCTTTGCCCATATTCTTCCACTGAATTTTTTTTCATGTGCTTAGACTTTTTTCCAAGGCTAGTACATGCTTGTCAAAAAATTAAAACATCACAGAAGTTTTTGTGAGCGCATCACAGAAAGTCAAAATTCTCCCATAACCCTGCCTTATGCAGAGATATCAACTTGTAACAGTTTGCTTTTCCCATTTTTTCTGTACGTATACTGACATAACTATATTTTTAACCAAAATTGGATCACTGTAGATACTGTTTTGCAATCTGCTTTTTTTAAGTTAATTTTTAATTACACAGTCTACAAACACACCTACCGTGTTAAAAAAAGAAAGGGGGAGGGAGAAAGAGGAAAGGAAAGAAGGAGGGAGGGAAGAAGGGAAGGGAGGGGAGGGAGGAATTAAGAAATTAAAACATTACAGGTAAGGCCAAGCTTTTTGTCTACAGCCTCCAAACCCAGAATTATTCCCCAGAAATAACCACTATTGTTTTGATGTGATCTTTCCAGATCTTTTCCCACACCTAGTTACGTGTTTCTTGTGAAGAATATGTAATACGTCATGATTTTTTTGGTTGTGTTTTCTATGGTAATATAGAATTTCTATATACATACCATTCTGACATTTGGCTTTTTTATCCCTTGTCGGAGATGAATATTGACCAAGGATTTGGGCTTGTCACTGAGGGAAAGCTTTAAAGGGTACCCCACCGTTGGGCCAGTTATACGGGCACTGCCCCCTCTGGGGACCATCCCTGAGTATGGTCAGGGTTGTTACCACCTGGGAAGCCTCAGGAGGAGGAGCTGGGACCCTCACACCAAGGCAGCAGCAGCGAGAAGCCGAGCCTCTTTCCCAGAAAGTGCCACTTCGTTGGTGGTAACGCAGCTGCCCACCCAGAGGGGCTGTATGTGGGCGCATCACAGAGGCTAACCCTAACTAAAGGAGCCTGTGCCTGTGAAGTGTACACAGCCTTGGTGGGCAGTGAGGCCTGCCCAATGGGTTATGATGCGTCCCGCGGCCACAGGCTGTCCCAGGAGAGACTCAGGCCCAAATACAAGGTCAGGGTGCCTCTCTGGGACAGACGCATGCCTCTCTCAGGCTTCCTAGTTATTAGTCTCCTAGGGCTGCTCTATCAAAGTACCACAGACTGGGTGGCTTAAACAACAGAGTTAATCTCTCACAGTCTTGGAGCCTGGAAGTCCCAAGATCAAGGTGTGGACGGGGCTGGTTCCTTCTGGGAGCTGTGAGGAGGAATATACTCCATGCCTCTCTCCTGGCTTCTAGTGGGTTGCTGGCCATCTGGCATTCCTTGGCTTGTGGAAGCATCACCCCCATCTCTGGCTTCATCTTCACATGTTGTTTTCCCTGTCTGTCTGCCTCCAAATTTCCCCTTTTTTTTTTTTTTATTTTTTTTTTTTTTTTTTAAACATCTTTATTGGGGTATAATTGCTTTACAATGGTGTGTTAGTTTCTGCTTTATAACAAAGTGAATCATTTATACATATACATATGTTCCCATATGTCTTCCCTCTTGCGTCTCCCTCCCTCCCACTCTCCCTATCCCACCCCTCCAGGCTGTCACAAAGCACCGAGCTAATATCCCTGTGCCTTGCGGCTGCTTCCCCCTAGCTATCTACCTTACTACGTTTGTTAGTGTGTATATGTCCATGACTCTCTCTCGCCCTGCCAAAGCTCACCCTTCCCCCTCCCCATATCCTCAAGTCCGTTCTCCAGTAGGTCTGCGTCTTTATTCCTGTCTTACCCCTAGGTTCTTCATGACATTTTTTT